TTTTGCAAGGCAGGGGCAAGAAAAGGGCGGTCATCGCCTCAGGCGCAACGTGTTGTAAGGCGTCGCGCAGCCCATCAGGGCCAGCAGCAGTGGTCATAGAGGCCCTTCGCATAAGAAACTGAACATCGAGATGGGTGGGGGTGCATTCTGACTCGAGAGGGGGGACCTGACCAGCGACAGCGGCAGAGAGGGGCTGCAAGGCAAGAGAGGCCGGAGCGATGCACTTCCCATCCCACGCATAATGCTGCGTCTGCTCAAGAGGGTACTCAGCCGGAAAGTTGGAACTCCAACGCTCGCGTGCAACCCTTTCCTCAGCTCGCGGACCTGGTAAAGAGCCAGTTGAGCAGGTCCCTTCAGCATCTTCACTGTACCCTGGGTTCTTGAGTGACATCGGCGCGCTGCTCCCTCCCTCCGAGCTGTCGAAGTGGTCGAGGTCGCGGTGCAGGTTCACGAGCGGGGGGGCGGCGGGCGCGGGCGCAAGCAAAGAGGTAGCACCGGCAGCAAAAGAAGACACCGCAAGAGGAAGCTGCATCGGACAAGGAGGGGCTGGAGGTCCCCGGCCTGTTCGCGCGTCGTGCCTCCTGTCAGTCTCGGGGAAGGGGGTGCCACAGGCGGGGGGGGCCTGAGTGCGCGCAGGGGGGGGGGCCAGAGGAGGGGGCGTCTCGTTGTAATAATCAACAACCTCTTGGTCAGCGAGAGCCTGTGCTTTCTCAATGCCTCCGAAGAAATCTTGCATATGCTGCGCCACCAGATCAGAGGAAGCAAGCGGGTTACCCTGGTTATCGAGCATGTATAGGAAGGCCGTGGGCTTTTTATTACGCCCCCCGAAGCGCAGAAGCTTGTGGTGCCTTTGCCAGGCCTGTCTGGCCATGCCCCCGTCGACAGACAATTGCGCCTCCTGCGCAATACCTTCGAGAAAGAGAGCCCTGTCTTTTTCGAGCTGGTTGGCAAGAGCATGCTTGGAACGAAAAACAAAGGAATGGAGGTCAAGCATGAACTCATCGTGGTGTGCAGCACCATTGCGACAACGAAGGGCAACCTGCCTCACAGAGGTGTAAAGGGCGTCCCACGGAGAGTCCTGGAGCTTTTTATGTCCTTGGCCGAGGTCCCCACTGGTCCACCGACCAGCAAAGTGAGAGAGAATCCTAGGATCCGTGGCCCCCGGAGGCAGGACCGAGGGACGCGCCACCTTACGCAAGACACGAAGGGCTCCGCGGCGGGCAAGCACAAGCAGGTGAGAGGAAGCAGAGATGTAAGATTGTCTTAGACGACTCCCTGGGCGGGTGAAAACCTCCTTCGCAACTTGGTTGACTTGCTTGGTGACCGAAGCCATGTGTTCCGATGGGGGGACCGAGCATTCAATGGGGGAAAGCTCCGAGAGACGTTCCCGAAACTGAGCGACCCTGTCGGGGTCCCTAAGAAGATCATCGCCCAGCCGTGTCGACGAGGCTTGACGCACAACTCGCTCCTGATGAAGAGTGAGATTGGCAAGCACGGGGAGATGGTCACGCTGCTTAGAGAAGTTGTCAAGCTCCTTCCAAGTGTGAACGGCAGAGATGTTGGATGCCATGCCCTGGGCAACACATATGTAGTCAATGCGGTGCCGAGCATTCTTGTTGGTGGCAAAAGTATAGTCGTCACTATCACCTTGCATGGTGTTAACAGCTACCAGAGCCGCTTCGTTGAGAGATTGCCTGAATCTCGTCCCAGGAGGGTCTTCGTCCTGGCAAAATCCCTGATCCCCAACCGTAGCGTCCGTGTGAGTACCGAGTCGCGCATTTGCGTCGACAAGCATGATTTGAATTCCCCAGGCAGCAAGCTGTTCGTCCAGGAGGGTCCAGAAGGCGCCCCGACCCGAAGCTTTGTGACCCGAATGAAACGCATGAGCAACGGCAACAGTGAGTTCAAGTCCTGGAGCTTGAATCCGCACGATTAGAAGACGAGGAGTGGCATGAAGCACGGAGAGATGACGGGGATGAAAGAGCAAAGGGCGGCCATTGCACTGTCCGTAGGGTTCCTCAAGGTTAACCCAAAGCTCGACTCCCGCCGAGTGATTGATGTGTCCAGAAGCCAAAACCTGGTAGGCGCCCTTTCTCTTCGAGCCCTGGGGGGTCCGCGCCTCCTGGGCCCCAACAAGATGGATTTTCTTGTCGCGAAACTGTTGCCGAGTCATGTGGGACCGCATGCCTTGGACGTAGGCATTGCTCGACGTTTTGTGGGATACCGCAAGGGAGCGCGTGTTATATTGGGCCAGCGAGAGAGCAATCACTTGATGCTGCAGACGCGTGGAGGCAGGAGTGACGAGGTCATGAACAGTGGCAAGAGAGCATGGCAGCGAAGCGACGAAAGAGAGATGGACGCACTCACCGACTTGCGCCTGCGTAAGAGATGGATAAGCTGAGGCAACCTCGGATGGGGCATCGAGAAGCCAAACCCATTCAACGGCACGGATTAAGTCAGTTAGGTCATACAGGGGAGCGGGCAAAATAGAGAAATCGAACTTACCTTTCATGGTGGCCCGAGCGATGTTGTCCACGATAGTATTACAGGGATGTTCTACATGCCCTTTGATGTGGCATATCTGGATTTCACACCGATGTCTACCTCTGACCAGAAGAGCATAGGCGAGTCTAGCGATATCTCTGTTGGCCTTGCTGTTGGACCTGCCGTTGAGAAATTCAACAGCATTAAGGCTGGCACTCCAGATGGTGACTGGCACGGGCGCTTCTTGAGCGAGGGCAGCAAGCAGGGCCCAGGCTGTGGCGAGAAGCTCAACGTCCGTGCTATCCAAGTCTTTGGGGGGGTCCAGAATACAGGATTGGGTCCACTGGGAACAGACGAACCCCCCATAGGCGTAGCCATCCTTGTCCTGAGAGAGCGCGACCAATCCCCAGCTCGCAGTGGTGCTGTCGGAAGGGTCGATCGACGCATCGGCATAATAGCGTTGGTGCCCCCATTCGCCGGACCTGGGCGGACAAAGACTGAGGGCCAAGCTTCCTGGTTCCTCCAAGTCGGGGACAGCCTCGCGTCGCCACACGAGAGAGGCCCTGACGTCCCTGACAAGCCAAGCAGAGGGGAGACGGCCGAGATCGCAATGCAGGGGCGATGGAAACACGGCACGGCGCTCCGAGATAGTGGGGTATGGCGATGGGCCCAAGGAGTCGTCGCCACGACCTGAAACTGAGGGGGGAAAGGGGCCAGGGGTGTGCGACGACTCGCTGTCCCTTCTGGGAGGAGCCAGGGCGCGGGCCACAGGTGGGTCGTGGGAGACGGGGATAGGAGCGGGGATGTACTGAGCGCTCGGGTGGGCGCTGAGACGGTCCTGCTGGCTGGCTTCACCCTGTGAGACCGAAAAGGTGTCAGGCACGGGCGAGACGCGTCTGCTGGAGAAATCGCTCGAAGCGGGGGGTCCCACTGAGCTCATCTCGTGCGACCTCAACTGTAAGAGGTCAACGAGGCACAGGATGACAGGCTGCACCACCGAGGGGGCGGCAGCCGCGGCAAGGGATTGAAAATGACTGGTGTCAGGATCCTCGCTGGGGTTCATGTGCGATCCCGAGGGTGGCTGGGCCAGAGTGAGACACGGATCCTGCGAGGTAGCTGACATGACAACATGTGTGTTGTCTCGCGAAGAGAGCCGAGTACTGCTAACAAAATGTTGCAAAAGGCTGGAGTCTGAGCTTTCGCTGAAATCGGACTGCGGGTCCCTGGGAGAAGCCGCGCGGCCAGGGCCGCTGGGGCCCTGCGCCTCACTGTCCTGGCCGTCTTGGCCAGGAGGAGGCGGGTCCGAGAGGAGGGTATTTCCTGTTGAAGGCTCAGACGCGGTGGCAGGCGGCTGATAGTCGTGCGAGTGGAGGACAGACTCCCAAAAACGCCACGCTTGTCCAGCCCAGAGTGGATCGGCGAGATGGCCTGGTCGGCCTGCCTCGACAGAGATCCAGTGCCTTGCACGGAGGTAGGCGTCAAGAGCGCCCTGTAACTCCAGGCCGTGCTGAGTCGGATAAGAGATCCTCGTGCGCTCGAGCCGCCGTAAATAGGCTGAGCGACGAGCTCCTGACAGTTGCCAAGCCCCACTGCAGATTATTTCCGCCTGGCTGCGCCATGCAAGCCTGCTGTTGATGCCGTATGTGGGATTAAAGATCGGATGAAAGTCAGGAAGGGTGCGCAAGTATGCTTCTACCCACGGAACGCAATCTTCAAGCCACAAGGCCATTGCCTGGTCGTCTGACATAGAAATGGCGTTATAGTACCAGGGCTTGAGCTTGTGCGAAAGCCTCTCAGCCAAGCGCTCAGAGGCCGAGATGGCTTCGAGCAGGCCAGGAGGGGCAGGCTTGGAGGATGGGGGGGAAGAGGTGTCTGCCATCACTGGGGGTTCCAGTGGCTGAACGTGCCTAGGGTAGGATCCCATTTCCCAAGCATCCGAGCTATCATGGTGGCGTCTTGACCCCGCGCCGCCACTGGGAAGGTTGCTGGCAGCATGCAGTTGGTATTGTGCGATTGGCTCAAACCCGGAGTTACTCGCGAGCTTAAAAGTTGGCCGTCGTTGTTCTCCCCCCCCCGACCTCCACCCGCCGTCCCCACAAGTGGCTCGATCATTGCCTAGCAAAGACTGGCTAGTTGACGCTGGCTCGTGCCCTCTGCCGGCGTTCGTAGGCGCAAAATCTTGTAGCGGAGCGGGGACTGTTGAGTGGGCATGCTGCTGGGAGGCGCTGGCGTTGGTCGACCATGGGAAGACCATAAAAGCCAAGGCAGGGAGAAAGGATGTATTGAGCACGTCGAGACCCGCGTGCTGATGCAGCATGTGTGAGGATGAGAGAGGAACTGAATAAGGTGGCTCAGATGATTCGCTGGCCTCACTAATGTCTACTTGTCGCTCAGGGTCGTAGAACTGCGTGTCGACGTAGCCCCAGGAGATCCCTATGCGCTGTCTGCAAGGCGTTGGGACACATGTGCGGGCTCGCCCGCAGGAGGCGACCGACTCCTCTCTTTGACGCCGTTGCCTTTGCCCTTGAAGCACATCTTGCCATTGTGGTCGATGTAGCTCTGAGGACTTCGGAGCTGCTCCTGAGTGGGATTGATCTGGGTCGGGGCGAAATGATCGGGCGCAACGTAGGGTGTCTCCTGCGTTGGCGGGAGACCCCACATCTGGGTCGGTCCAGGCGTTCCAGGAACTGGTTTGTCCTCGGGAGCTGTGACCGCCGTCGGTGGTGTCCCTGGAACTGCGGTCGCTGGTGTCCCTGAAGCTGCCGCTGCAACTGAAGCTGCCGTCCGTGTCCCAGGAGGCGACGCCGCTGCTGCAGTCATGAACGTCGTAGGAATCGGGATGCCCTGAGCCTTGTACATCTCGATGATGGCCGCCTGGAGCGGAGCATCTGAGAGGGAAGCCGGCGCCGATGCTGTACTCCCTGATGCTGGAAACCCCACGGCTGGCGCCGACGCTGGCTCGGCCGCCTGAGGAGTTGGGAAGGGGCCAACTGGTGGTGGCGGAGCTGCAGGCGGACAGTGATTCAACATGTACTGATGCATGAGCCTCATCTGCGCCTCCATCTGCTGATTGTGCTGATAGATGAGGTCGCGCTGCTGAAGGGCTGCATCGCGCTGCTCTCGGAAGGAAGCCGCCTCTGATGGTGGCCCTGAGCTCGAAGGTGCTGTGCCCTGAGCTGTACCAGGTTCCACTGCCATGGGACTGGGAATCTCCTGAATAATGTCTGCGATCTCGGCCTTGATCTTGTTGTCGATGTCGATCAAGCTCTGGTTCAAGTCCCCAACCTCCTCCCGAACTTCTTCGGCCTGAGCTTCGAGCACATTGATCCTGGCATATGTGTTGTGCAAGCGATCCTTCGCCTCGATGAGCCGAGCCAGTGCTTGTTTTCGCTGCTGTTTCAGCGGCAGCAGCTGATCCCGGCAATAGCGGAGCATGGAGAGCTCCTCCTTGAAGTCCTCGTCGCCTTTGCGGGCCCGCAGCGCTGCCACCGCTGCCTTGGCCAGCGTTGTCATTCGACGGGTGAGCCTGTCTTTGAAGGCCTGCATGTGGCGCATGTCCGTGGGGGCCTGCCACTCGCCCCAGTTGGGGTGCGCCTGGGCGAACTGCTGCGTGGCGGGAACCAGCCTGGCGAGATAGCGCTCGACTGCCTTGCGGGTCTCGGACGTTTCCTTGTCCTCGCCACGCTGCTGACGTCCACGCTCTTGAGGTCGATGACGTCCTTGATCTGGAGGTGGCCTCCTGGAAGAGTCTGGCCGCGCCTTTGCCTCGATCTTCACCCACGGCTGGCGAGAGGAGGCGGCCTTGCTTGACTTGCTGGCTGAGCGCGGCCGCCGAGGCTGACTGTGTGACTTCTTGCGCCTGTCCGCAAAAGCACCACCGCACGCACAATACCACTGCCAGTGTTGGACACGCTCGTTGCATGAGCCGCAGGTCCATCCTGGCAGAGAGGCCATGTCGTCTTCCTCGATGTGCTGTCGTGGTTGCACTGACTGGCGCTGTGCGCTGTGATGCTGAGCGAGAAGCTGACCTGCTCGTAGTACTCGCAGGAGAGTGCGCGCGCTGCCGCGAGCACGCCGTTCCCGCCGATGCCACGCGGGCTCGCGTGATCGTTCGCGACTGCGGGCGCGGGACTGAATGGTTGCGGACGCGAGCCCCTGCTCGCGCCTCGCGAAGGCTAGGCTGCTGGGCTACCCACCTGAGGGCTACCCTACTCCTCCTCCTCCTCCTCCTCCTCCTCTCCTCCTCCTCCTTCTTCTCCTCCTCCCCCCGTTCGTTGCCGTTGTCGTCCTCATTCGTGCTCTTCCTTATTCCCTGCCCATGCTGCTCGTCCTGTTACTCTTCAGCCTTCTTCTCTTCCTCCTCCTTATCCTGCCCTTGTCCCCATCTCCCCCCCCCTCCTCATGATCCGTCTTCCTATCTTACTTGTCCATCTGCGCATCTTCTTCCTCCTCCTCCTTCTCCTCCTCTTTCTCCTCCTCCTCCTCCTCATGCACACCTCCCTCCCCCAGCTGCTCCTCTTTTTCTGCTCCTGCACCTCAACCTCTACCTCCACCGCATTTTCTTCATCCTACTTGTCATCCCCCTCCTCTACCTCCGCCTCCTGCCACCCTGCTGCAGAGGCTGTCGATGCCTCGCGCTGGGCTTGGAGGCTTTAGGTGCGGCCAGTGCGAGCAAGTGGGCGCCGAGAAAAAGGTTTGCCTCGCCTCGAGCTTTGCCCCTGCAAGGCTGCATGTGCCTGGCTTCTTTTGAAGAGCACAGGAGATGCACCAGCCGTTGTGGTAGGAGGCCGACGTCGCATAGGCTGCGACAGGTCACGATAGGTTGCGAGTAGGAGCTTTCTGCTGCATCGGCCGTTGCATACGAAGGTTGTGATAGGAGGACCTCGAAGTCGCAGGGGTTCGACTTCTGTTGCAGTGCGCGCGTAAGATGGCGATCAGATGAGTCGAGACAAAAACCATCGACGCCACTGTCGTTACTGCGATGTGCGAAGTGTTTGTTAGATCCACCGCTTGTCATTCGCAAGATGTCGGAGCGGTAATGCCCTCGCCAGTGCCACTGCTGTAATTGTCCGTAGCCGTGCCAGTTCTTGCCATTGGCTCAATTTTGTTTCATGCTGTTAGGTGTTGTAGTGGGGCTGCTGCCATGGACGGTGGCTGTTTTGATGGCGACACATTGTTGGCGACTCTCATACAGAAGTATGATGTTTTGCAGGACGGGAAATGGGCCCAGATAGAAAAGGATTTCAATGAACAGGCCCCTGAGGCTAAGTCCCGGCATTGGCTGAAGAACCGCGCCAAGAAGCTACAAGCCGCGTGTCCTCCCGAAGTTGACGTTGTCACTCCGGTTCGACATAAGACGCCCAAGTCAAAATTCGATTTCGACCAGAAGTTTTGGGATGACAAGTACACGGCATTAGGGGCCCAAGAATGGATCACTGGCTACAAAGAGATGTCTCAAATCTTCGAGTCTGCCGTGCCTGATACGAAGTCTTCCATTATAGTCGTTGGATGTGGCGACTCACCATTTTCTGCTGATTTGTATTCCGCGGGCTACACCAACATCACAAATGTGGATTACAGTAGCGTGTGCATTGAGCAAATGTCCAAGAGGCATCCAGAAATGACCTGGAAATTGGCAGATGCTACGAACATGGGCGACATAGGCGATGAGCTGTTCGATGTTGTAATCGAGAAATCTCTCGTTGACACGTTCGTTGCTGCAAAGACGACGCCAGACGAAAGAGAGTTTAACGTAGCGAACATGTGGGCTGAAATGTGGCGCGTTCTCAAACCTGGCGGTAAGTACTTCAGCCTGAATTTCATACTGGAGGCGATGGAGAAGGGCTGGGCAGAGAGATGCCTCTCGAACTGGACGTCTCAGATGACAGCCGCGATGGGAGGGCGGCAACCTTGGGAGATCCTTCGAGTGGGTGTCAAGACATCCCCAGAGATGCGAGACAGATTGGCGAATGATGATGCGCCCATGTTTATATGCAGAAAGCCTTCCGACCTGTCCATTCGCCAGCTTGGCTGATCTTGTTATACTGCTCTACTGCTCCTGCTGGGGGGGGTGGGGGGGAGGGGGATCGGGGGGGTCCCCGCGAGGCGCATGTTTTTTCAGTTTCGCTGTCGCTGGGGGTCTCCGCGAGGCCCTCGGGGCGCAGGTCTAGGTGCTTGTTCGCCAGCACCTTCCGGTCCGTGGCATAAGAGCTTCTGCCATCGAGTCATCTGCAAGACGCAGCGTCTGCCGCATGCGTGGACAAGTCGAAGAGGGGCCCGCAGCTGCTCGAGCGTTGCCGCCGCGCCCGCGCCCGGCTTGCCGACAGCCTCTGCCCGGAGGGCGGCACAGCGCCGGGGGGGGTGCCAGCGGTCCGTGCACGGCGCGGTGGAGGCCTCCTCCCCCTCCCCTCGCCGCCCTTCTCTCCTCCTCCTCCTCCTCCTCCTCCTCCTGCTCCTCCTCCTCCTCCTCCTCCTCCTCCGCCTCGCCCGAAGAAGAAGAAGAAGAAGAAGAAGAAGAAGCAGAAACACTGCCTCGCCCGCCCCCCTCGCCCCCCTTCTCTCCCCCCCCCCGCTTCTCCTGGACGCTCACACGCAACACGCGTTTGCCGCGGCAGCCCTGCCTGGCGTATCCTGGCGTGCCGTGGGTGCCGTGGTCAGCATCGCGCTCGCTCGTTCTGCGCTGCCGTACTCTCTTGCCTGCGCACCGTCTGGGTGCAAGGCGACTGACCTGATCTGACCTCGCTGCTCCTGTGAGAGCGCGGCTCGTTCTTGTGTTTCGCGCCGGGGAGCTACATACCGCACACATTCTGCAAGCGAGGTTGCGAAAATAGAGTTGACACATCTCTCCCATCTGAAGCTATCGAATGGCCTTCGGCCCATCCCGCCACCGTGAAGGATGTTCGTTGGGATGTCGAAGGAGGCCTCTCGGGGGCCTCTCGGGGTTCGCTTTGAAGGTTCTTGGGGGCCGTTTTGGAGCCTCTTGGGGCGTCTTCGGGACCTCTTGGGGGCCTCTTGGGGCCTCTTGGGGGCCTCTTGGGGCCGCCTTGGGGCCTCCTGGGGGCCTCTGGGGCGGAAGTCTTGGATTTTCGATTCGTGTTCCCCCTCTTGGACCCCTCTTGGGTTGTCTTTAGGCCATATTGGGCCGTCTTGGCAGCCTCTGGGGCCGTCTTGGAGCCCTCTTGGGACGTGTTGGGGCCCTCCTGGGGGCCGTCGTGGAGCCCTCTTGGGCCGTTGGGGCTTCTTGGGGGCCTCTTGGACCGTCTTGGGGCGGTCCTGGGGACTTCTTGGGCCGTCTTGGAGCGTCGGGAACTCGAAACGTTAAGGGCCCCCATATCATTGAAACCCGATTGGAGAATTAATATGATTTGGGCATCTCGGGGCTCTCTTGGAAAGGCTCTTAGGGCTCTCTTGGGGCGTCTCGGAGGCCTCTTGGGCGGTCCTGGGTCCCTACTGCCAAGGGCAAAGGAAAAGGGGGTCCAGTAGGCCGCCGAACCGTCTTCAGGCAGAGCGACACCAGGGCGAACGGCCTGGCGCTGCACTTTCCGGGCTGGAAGATCGACGCGGGCTCCAGCCAGGGAGACGAGGCGGACTTGGTCATCATTGAGAATACGCGGGCCAACGGTACCTACACTTGCGGGTTCGTGGACGCCCGCCACAGGATCAACGTCGCCTACACTATAAGCAAGTCGGGCGTCGTCGTCGTCGTTGGCAATGGCAAGGTGTACCGAGCTGCATCCGAGTCCCAGCTAAGCGTGCTAGCCCGCTGGGGCCATGAGGGGAGCACGTGGCCCAAATTCGCTACCCGGATGCAGCCAGGGATCGGCGTAATCTACGCGAGGACCAGCCTTTGCGCCCAATTCTTTCCCTGGTGACTCCGTGCAAGACGAGGCCACCACGGAGGACTCCGAGAGGCTCGCGGCCGAGAGGGGGGGCAAAAGGCCAGGGAGAAGAGGTTAACCAAAGTTCGTGACCAGCAGCAACTCAGCTTTTCCACATTGGTGGACTACCCCCGCCCGAGGGCCATGACTGGAACCACCTGGCTGAGGACCTCCAAACTGCTGGCACCAAGCTTCCGATGGACCTGGCCCTGGCACCCGTGTATCGTTACGTCATGAACCTCCATCCGCACGTGTATGGCCGTGACGACGTGCCAGTCGACCTTGCTGAGCACTGCAGCCACGACGGTTTCTTGTACGTCCTGGAGCTGGGCTTCGATCCGACTAGCTACGTCTACGCGGCCACGTAGGCCGTTCTTATGCAGCTGGCGGGCCAGCCGACAGATGACGACAGCGCAGCCGTTCTTCACGAGCGGTTTCCACCCGAAACGGTGCGCCCATGCACGACAAGCAGGTGGCAAAGCAAAGAACACTGATTCTGTCCCGTCCGCAGCACGCGTGGATGCCAATGGCACACGAGGCGGCCGTTTCCTAGGCCGCCTGCAGGCCATCCTGAAGAAGGTGACGCCTCGGACCCGCAGGTTCCGTAACTGCCTCCTTGCCCGCAGCTGGGCTGGGCACTTTCGGCCTGCCAGACCGGCTGGACGCTTCCGCCCTTCCCGGCTGCGATGCGTGCACCAGCCAGGACCGCCCCCCGCCTCCTGCCCCCGCACTGGCCGCCGCTGCCGGTCTTTGGCGACGTGCGCTGGCTCCTTGCCACCCACGCGACCATTACGTTCTGCAGTACGTTGGCCCCCTTGGCAACCTTTGGGTGCCGCACTCCGTTGCGCCGCAGCCATCGTCCTGTCGCTGTCTTACAGACCAGCCTCAGCATTCAGCTCAGAGGCTCGCAGCATTTTGCTGCCGCGGGCGACTCGCTGGCCAGCCCCACGGTCCTGGCCCCTCACACCACGCAGCCGCTGTGCGCTGGAACACCTGGCAACATGGCTTTTTCGACGAGCACTCGGGTGCTTTCATCAATCGCTCGCCTCTCGCCCTACCTTGGTCGCCAGCGCCTGCAGTCTTTGCCTCAGCCCTTGGGTGTGGGCGCGGTGCCACTCCACGTCCACTGCCAGGACGCCTCAGCAACGGCCTGTCGCACCGGCCGCTCACGCCGACTATCTTCGTGCTGTGGGTGCCCTCCTTCCTGCTCCCTCCTCCGCGGCCGCTCTCCTCCCCGCTCCTCTCTCCTGTGCTGCCGGACAGTAAGTACGTTCTGCCCCAGTTACTAGTGCGCACGAGCATACTGCCTGTGCCGCGCCGCGGCGGAAAACATGTATATACACGTACATGTACGTGTACATGGTGTGTGTGTGGTGCGTTCATCTGTGCGTTTGTTCTGGTGCTTGTTTGGCTTCGGCCAAGTTGCTTCGAACTCACTGAACACCTGCCATCATTTGTTGGTTCATTTTTTTTTTTTTTTTTTTTTTTTTCTGGCCCTCGGGCTACTACCACGACCAGGAGCGTTTACAGTAGGAGTCCCTCTCAATGGCACCCCACACAAGCAATGTTTTGGTATAGTGGCTGCGCAAGGACTTGCATTGCAAGACCTTTCGACTTGAATTCCCGCATAGCGTTTCGCTAGAGGGTTCTATTAGACATCAAATTTTCTTATCGCCAGAATCTCCACTGGGGTGCCGGGGGGGGCGTCTTACTGGCCCGGCGGGTTGCCGGCAATGTTATGTTTTATTTAACATTATCCGTAAGGGCTTCGCCCCCTGCCGCCGGCCCCCTCTCTCGGAGAATGGGCCATGGAAGAGCTAAGTCATGAGGCCTTGGCGCTGTCGTGAAGCAGTATCGAAACTTCAAGCGAAGCCGATTCGCAATCAGCAAAACCAACTGATCACAAGAGGGGTTACCACACTTGGCGATTGGTAAGACGTGTATGGTTTACGGGCTTGGTTACCACACCTTGCGATTAAAGGGCCGAGGGAGTTCTCGCAGTTTGGGTTACCACGCCTTGCGATGGATGTGCGTGAAGGGTGGCACCGAATTTCAGAAATGTGGCAAATCCCCTGTGTTTTTGGACCCTGACCCCGCGGATCTGCGTGAGGGGTGGCACCGAATTTCAGAAATGTGGCAAATCCCTGTGTTTTTGGACCCTGACCCCGCGGATCTGCGTGAGGGGTGGCACCGAATTTCAGAAATGTGGCAAATCCCATGTGTTTTTGGACCCTGACCCCGCGGATCTGCGTGAGGGGTGGCACCGAATTTCAGAAATGTGGCAAATCCCCTGTGTTTTTGGACCCTGACCCCGCGGATCTGCGTGAGGGGTGGCACCGAATTTCAGAAATGTGGCAAATCCCATGTGTTTTTGGACCCTGACCCCGCGGATCTGCGTGAGGGGTGGCACCGAATTTCAGAAATGTGGCAAATCCCTGTGTTTTTGGACCCTGACCCCGCGGATCTGCGTGAGGGGTGTTGATTTCGAGCCCCCCCAGCAATTCAGACAACGCGCCCAGGAGACGCTAAAAATCTTGTTTGGGCCTCCCCCCCCCCTCGCGCGGTCAATCAACTAGTTACAGTAACCAGCAAGAAGCAGAACTGTAACACTGGAAACTACAAGCTACAACTGGTACAGGAAACTGCGAACCCGCGCCTACAGCCTGGTGGCCCCACAAGGGGGCCGGCGGATATTGTGGTTCTAATCTTATGTGTTTTACGTATGTTCCTGTAGCTGTCCCCTTTCCCGTGACTCGAAACTTGTGTGTGTGTTTACGTGTGTTTCTATAGATTGCCTCTCTCCTGTGGCTCGAGTCCGATGTGTTTTGCGCGTGTTCCTATAGATTGTCCTCTGGTGGGGGGCCAGGGGGGAGGCGTTTCGCTGGCCCGGCGGCTGCCAGTACCATGTGTTTTGCATATGTTCGTACCGATTGCCCCTCCACTGTGGCTTGAATCGCATGTTTTGTACGTCTGCTCCTGTAGACTGCTTCTTTCCATTGGCTCGAATCCGATGTGTGTTTACGTACGTGCCTACAGACTGCCCCTTACCTGGGGCTCGAGTCCTTTGTTTGTGTGTACGCATGTGCCTGTAGATTGCTCTTCTCCTGCGGCTCCGACGCGATCGTCCTCTGAAGTGGTCCCTCTCCAAGCGCATTTTTCCTCCGCCTTCCTGCGGGCGCAGTGGAAGAAGGGCCCTTCTGATCTTGCGACCTGTGCCAGAGTTCGAGCTCGTGCGAGCGGTTCGGGGTGTCTCTCGCCAGTCGCCAGCCACAGACCAGGCACGCCTGCGCCTGCGTCTTCTCTTCCTCCTCTTCTTTCTCCGCCCTCCCTCCTCACCGCTCGTCTTTTTAATAGAGACCAGGACGACGAGGGGACGAGGAGGAGGGGAGGTGGAGGAGGAGGAGGAGGAGGAGGAGGAGGAGTAGGAGGAGGATGAGGAGGAGGAGGAGGAGAGGAGGAGGAGGAGGAGGGGATAAGAAGAATAAAATGAAGGACGATGATAATACGGAAGAGGAGGGGGATGGAGGAGGACCGTCCTCATCTTCCTTCCCCTCCCTTTCGCTCCTTCTCCTTATCTTCCTCTTCCTATTCCTCTCAAGTCCTGTGCGTGCTCGATGATATTACTTCGCAATGTCGGGGCAGACATGCCTTTGCCCTCATCCTGCCGCTCCCCTGCTCCTCCACGTGTATCCCGCTTCGAAGCTGTCTTCATTTCCTCTTTCTCAATGTCGCGTGCGTGCCCTGCGTAATTATGTCGCAGTCTCAGGTCGGAGGTCCCCGTACTCTAATCGTCTTCTCCCTTTACCCCCCCCATCGTTGTCAACATGGTCTTCAGTCGTTCACGTGGCCATACCCTACTCATCATTCTTCACCGTCGTCGTCATCCTGCTGTTTCTCGCTTCCTGAGCGCCCCACAGGAACTTTCTCCGCAATCTCAGACGCGACGTGCCCATACCTTCCTTACGTCCCGCCGTCGTCGTCGCCGTCGCCCTCGCCCTCGTCCTCGTCTGGTCCTGTGCCCGCCCTAGGAGCATATTCCGTAACCTTAGGCCGGACATGCCCATGCCGGCCGACGTAAACCTCGAAGAGGCGCGCGCCCGCAAGCTGATCCTTGGGACCCCCACCCAAGTGGCGGACACGGCAGCAACAGGTTCAAGCAGCAGTGCTTCCCGCTGTGCCCCCCCAAATAGGCTTGTTGTTGAGGCCTGTTGAGCGTCCCGGAGGCGATCCAGACGGATGAGGAGTGCGCCAAGAGTTCGCGAAGACAGTCCAAGGAGCCTCAGGAGGCCCCCAACACTGCTTCAGATGCCTCCAATACAGTCCGAGAGACCACATGGCCCTAAGATTGCCTCGGAGGAACGCCAGGTTGACCCCGAAAAATGCTGATCCGTGATGTGGGAGATAAAACTTCCCGACAGGGCCCAAGACGACCCCAAGATGTCGCCAACAGCCCAATCGACGCCCCACGACGGGCCAGGGGGCCCGGAGGAGGAGGAGGAGGAGGAGGAGGAGGAGGGGGAGGGGGAGGGGGCCCCAGCCAGCCAGCAGCAAATGACGATCAACCCACCGGTGTCACAATCATGCCATCAGCTCACAGCAGAGCCCGGCTTCGGCAGATTCTTCAGCCAGCCACGGACACGCACGCACGCCCGATGTTATCGCGGATGCGGCTCACCAGCGGTGTTCCATTCTGTAGCTAACATTTCGACTAGACGTAAGAGTGACCTTTTGCAGGAGTGACCTTTGGTGCGGACATAGACGGGTCCCCAGATGGCTGAAAACGAAGCAGTGGCAGCTGCATGCGCGCCCAGGTTTGGCCCCCCCGCGGCCCCCAAAAAGCCGCGCACCAAAGGTCACTCTTGCGTATAGCCGAACATTGATTGGCTTTGCGAGGGAGCGTCAAGGAATGAGGTGGCCCGATTCCATCGTATTGTCATTCCAGCTCTGTTTGGCATTTAGGGGCTTCCAAAACGAGCAGCGGTGGTGTCCAGAGGGCGCTAATCTGCTCAACTTGGCTCGAGAAGTGTATCGGGATCGCCCAGGAGGCATGCAAGCGATTTCACGATCGTCCAGGAGGCCGTTATTCATTCATGTATGTGTGTATATATATATATATATATGCAGATATGCATATCTAGTCATATCTGAGTTACCTCGCACCAGGAAGCCGATAGGGATGCCCCCCCCAATAGAATCTGGAAGGCCCCTCGGGTCCCCGAGACTTTCCCAGGCCGACCCCGGGGCCCCCAAACGGACCAAGAATGCTCCAAGGGGCGCCGAAGACGGTCCACGAGGGCCCCAAGACACCCACAGATCGTTCCAAGAGGCCCAAGATGGCTCCAAGACGGCCCAAGAGGAG